TGTGAAAAAAATTAAAATACTGACCCTGTTGCTAAATACTAGTCTGTAGATTTTTACCAATTTCATGTAAAACTCCATTTGCCACATATTACGGTATGGGCTTTGACCGATGCATTATCTGCAGAATGTTTGAATTTTATTACCTAGGCAATGTACAATTACGTGTCAAAATCCATGAAGCATAAAAGACGGCAGTGGAATTTAACTTTAGAGAAAAATATGTTCAGGTTTTTACTCACTAAGCTTAGTAATTATTCTTTTGGTTTATTATAAACCACCTAAATTGCTGTAGAAATTTTAGGTAAAATATTTTGTCTTGTTTCTGCTATACTGTTAATTTACATGATTGACAGTTGATACAGACATGCATCCGAGTGGTGGGGACAGCAAACTATTTTTAAAAGCAGTAAGCCTTAGGTCAAATTAAAATTTATTAACAGATCAAACCGAAGTCTAGTAAAAATCAAATGTTAAAAGGCAATTACTGCAATCCAATCAATTCAGTTTAAACAAGCTTCAATGTATGCCAGTCACTAGTCGAAATACGTATGAAAATTATCCAGCTGACAAAAAAATTATAGAATACGTTCACATGGTGATCTGATGTTGTCGCTTCATCTTCATATTCATCATAGACTCAGAAAGGTTAGTCAAAATAAGCTTGGCTAAATTTTTTTGTAACCCGTGGTTCCTTTTTTAGAATATAAGACAACTAGTAGCAGCTTTGACTAATGTATAATAAAAATTATGAGCTTGAACAAAGAATAAGCAACCTAGAGTGTTCTGTCTGTGTGCTATGTTCATCACGAAAACTGTTCTACAAACACTTTGCAACAAACTTGTGATGTACTAAGGTCACCTAAACACCCATTTATTCCAAAGTTAATCCATGGTCCCATTTAATCACTTCCAGGAATTGATCAAATTTGCATGCGATTGTTACTAAAAACAGTACTTATTTAAATACCTTTAAAGAGAATGCTCAAAAGTCACAAGGTGAAGTAAAATATGCCTTTACGCAGAATGTCATCTTTTCAAAGGGCAGAGTATCATAAACTAGCAAACGGTTTTTTTAATTTTCAGCTACTTTTTTTGGAACACTTATGCACGCGTGTCCACACGGTTACGTAACTAGTATTAATAATTAGTAGGGCAACATACGCCGATTAATTTATCTGATTACTCAGACACGAGACAATTACGATTTATGCTTTAATAAATGATCACCTTTTTTTCTCATAGTGTTTAAATAGTGCAAAAGCAATCCCTGAATGCGTAATACTTCTAAAACAAATTAGCAAATTGAAGAAACCACCTTGTAATGATAGTTAGACAATAATTTTTAATTAATAACTTGTCTGGTATTCGAATTTTAAGAAAATGTTGTGAAACGTTTTGCAATGAAGTTTTTTTCCTTATTTTTAACAAGAATCAAGTATCGGTGTCAAAGGCCTTTTAGCAGTCAACTACTTACTGCACGGACAAAAATTTAAACTTGAAATATGCAGAAACGTGCGAATTTATTAACAATATAGGCAAGTGATAGAAAAACAAGGTAGCAGCACGCTTTTTTCTGCCTAACACTTGATGCCTGATCCGGAATTTTATTCATAATCAAAAAGATTGAAATTCGTCATATTAAATAAGTAGTAAGATGTAAAACCATGACATTTGTGTTTGAAAAAGGCAACGGGCCACAAAAAACTCAAATTTGTTGAAATATACTGCAGAGAATTAGTTACGATACACATTTATCAACACTAGCTTCGGATTCTCCTCTGATACAACAATGAGTAAAGTGGTTTCCCGACTGAATAGTCCTAAAAGTTTAACAACGAACGCTCACATAAAGTGCTTACTCGCTCCGGAGGCCGAATCTACACCTTGAAGTCACTAAGGAGATAATTTGCCAGATGGTATTCTTTCTATTTGTTAATACATCAGTCTGATTTTCGACAACTTTGCTGTCCGAAACCATTAGACACGACTTTATTTTTCAATAATTGCCATTAATTAGTTAGTCGATAAATGAGAGGAGTCTCGAACTAATTACTACTAAAGTTTCATGAGAATGATCTTGTTTCGCGCATTTAGTGACTTTAAATTCGATTTGGTACTGGTCAAAAGGAAGGTTAATATCGATATGTTTGACAAGGTTTTTGCATGCAGCACAACAAAGAATAAAGAGGGAATTAACATTGGTTTGCAAATGTTTTGTCAACCCGCGCAGTGAACCGAAATTCAAGATATTACGAAATTATATCCTCAATCCAATGGTCGATTAAAAATGTTTGAAATAATTAACCATATTCGACACGCAAGCCGACGAGTCTTTCAATTTCCAAAAAAATTATTTTTTGGAGATAAAAGAAATCGATTGTCGGTGTTTCTACTTGGCGAGAAATGCACAGTAAACAGCAAAAGGTTTAAAATCACTAAATTCTGATGACAATATATGTAAGCTTATGAAAAATCAACTTTGTTTTCCTATCTTGTAGCAACACTCCTCCCTCCACTTAGAAATATTCGTACTTGTGATTTTGCTTTCAATGCCTTGGGAAGGAAGGAACCTCCTCTTCCATAGAAGTGCCCTTTCCTTCAACAAATCAGCCTTATACAATCGTAACGCTTTTGTTCATTGCTTGGCTTGTACCGTTATATTTGTTAAACGAGAAAATTGTATACCGAAACACAACTTTGCCTGTCTTAAATTCAGTTTTATTCATTGTTAGATTTCTTTCACCTCCATTAATCAAATAAACAATTTATGGGTTGTAATCGGCAGTGTAAAATTGGCTACTACAACCTATATATAAAAGTAGGTTAATAATAGTCACATCGCAACATTATCATAATACAAACCGACGGGTAGCGAATACTGAATCCACAGACATACACCTTTCCTTGCACCTCAGTAGGTCAGAGAGGCAGAGCTGTGAATTTGCAGATATAGTTATAAGCCCCGGGGGGGAGATAGTCCCCAAAACGCAGGAATAATTGTAAACTTTGATGCAGTACCTTAATGGTGCATGGCACATGATGAAGTCACTGTCGATTAAGTGCAGTACAGAACAGCCAACCAAATGTCAGCGGCGGATTGAATAGTGGTGGTCATTTCACACGTTTACATTTGAGTCGATGCCTGAATAAAGCTGGACATTCTGGGATCATGCGAGATCATTACATTTGAAAGCAAATTAGCTGATTCCACACTTAGTTCGGTCGTAATTTTGGTCACAACAGTATGTTCACCAGAACGCCCAGCAAGTATGTTAGAAATTAAATAATAAACTTCCATGAAGTATGTTCACAAATAAGATTAGCGCCAGTGAACAAATGTTGAGTAGTGTTTTGTTAGTGTGGTACCTTTACATAGCAACTCAAAATCAGCTTGCCGAACTTCACTGTGCAATTTTTCGGACGTGTGTATAAGTTGTTAAATTTAATTGGCAAGCGTAAACTTAAGACAGTTATCTTTGGAATGAAAAATCAAAAGAGAAATGCAAAACGAGGAAATAATTTAAGTGTATTAAAAAAGCTGTGTACTTCAAACAACCCAAATTTTTTTAAGTAGAAAAAAATCACTAAAACATCTACGTAATGCGTACTTGAGACGACAAATGCTGGGAAATATAAAGTTCTAAATATCAGCGATCAAGTCCAACATTAGGTTGTCACCCACGTCTGTTTTTTAATACACTGACCATGGAAGCAGGATGCTTGTAATATCATTTTAATGACATAAAATACATGAGAGCATCTAAAGGCCTCAGAATTTGATGTTATTCATTTAACAAGTAATGTTATTTAGGCTGTCTCAGGTGTTAGGGGACAGAAGTTGCAAAGTGGAATACTGGTTAAATGATAAAGTGTAGTCAAAATTGCTAAAATGTTGTAACATCAGACAAAAAGACAAAAAAGACACATTATTGGAGCGTCAGTATTACAGAGTTATTTTACGTTTATTTTCGCAAAATATAACATTAGTAATGCCATTGAGCTAAAGCTATTCAACAGTCTAAGGTCAACGCATTACCTGTGATGCTAAGGAAAGGGTTATTATTCAGGCTCCAAATGTAAATGGTGCATTCATGTTGATTGACCGAATGTTTGCGTTTTGCCTTGGTTCTACGGCGAAGTGATCTAAAATTCATGTTACACTTACATTTTCTTGCCTTCATTTGCCTACTTTTGATCAGAATAAAATATATTCATTTAAAAATTCTTTAAATAATATAATACATCAGAACATCTAAGACATAAATTAGGCTTTAAATGCACCTGCAACGTTACGATGGGCAGTCGTCTGAAGGCGAAGGTGCACTTTATTTGCTCTAAGATAACGGCATCAAATCAAAATTTTAACAGGGGCCTGGGAAAAATTTTGTTTAACTATAGGCTAACTATATTATTTTACCAATAAAACGTGAACATTTGTTTTTTAACACTTAAAAAATGTAACAAATCATGCCCTGTAATACTAAGGTGGAATTGTTTCAGTTAGCTATAAGCTTTAAAAACATTGCTGAATCGAAAACGATGCATTAAACAAATTATTTCAACAGAGAATAGGTTTTTGATGTCAATATAGGAATCCTATAGAAATACTTCTCTGACCACTTCCAATTTGTCCACAAAGCATTAAGAGCATTCCTACAAAGTTTCGCCTAGACATTCAAGGAAAAAAGGCAAGCAAACGTTGTGCACATGTTAAACTATTTATTTTTTGCCAGAATCAAGAGAAAACAATTTGTTTAGTTAGGTTACAGCGTTACAAAATTTGAGCGGTCTGTTTATACTTATTATTTATTTTATCTTATTTATTGCTGACGATGGCGTCGTGTAGTAGTAATAGGTGTGTCGGAAATGCGTCTACATTGGAGGTATGCTATCATTTTAACTAACGCTTAAGGCGTTGGCTGATGTGTTCAAATGTTTCATATGTATGGAACAACTGAATAATGCTAGAATGTGTCCTCATTGTTCTAAATTATGCTGTCATGAATGCATTACGGTGAGTTCTAGGTAGTTTTAACTGTGGATCATTCTAGAAATGGATCACTGAAAACAGAGCACAATGTCCTCACTGCAGGTGATCAACTTTTGTATCCTAAAACACATGTTGAATTTTTTGAATTTTCTAAAGTAATCTACTGAGTTTCCCTATAGATTTTATCAGTAGATATTGTTTATAGTCTTGGTGTACAATTCTGGTGTAACAATCGTTAACGAAATTCTTCTTATGTAGGAATACACTGCACACCTATGCGTTGATCAACTGCAGATGGGCTGATGAGGTGACCCAGCAACTAGACAGTCTTCAGACGCAGCATATTTTCTCTGATGGGAACTCTACAAATGCAAGGACCCACGTTTCAGCTTCTGCTTTAGACATGTATGCTATAAGTTTATTAAAATTTCCACCATCAAACTTTGATGCTGTAAGTTTTACCTTCATTTTAAATATGATAACATCGATATTTTCATCTATTTTATTCTGGTATATCAGAAGCCTACCACCCTAAATAGAATGGCTCGCACTTCACTAGTTTGTCTTAAGTATAAATTAACATTGTATCGTAGCAATATGTTTCGGTGGCCTTGTCTTTGGGTTCTCAAATTTCTTGTTGCATACCCGTTATGCCTAATAACGAAGTTAGCATGATAAGGGTAGTGAGGTCTAACACCATACAATGCTACCTTATTCGACCAAGTCATTATGGCTTCTTTCAACAGTTGCATGATAAATTTAGGATATCGAATTTATTGCCGCATCAATGTCATCTTTGATTTTGTAGGTGCGAGGCACACAATGAACGTTTGTCTGTATTTTGTGGTACATGTGATCGAGCCATTTGTCATCGTTGTGCGCTCTTTGACGGTCGCCATGGCCAACATTCCTTCCGTCCCCTAGACGAAGTTTATAAAGAGCACGTAGATCGCATCAAAAGTGAATTGGAGAAGCTGAAGCACCGACGTCGTGAGGTTCATGCTCTTATTCAGGATGTGGTGAGTTTTTCCTTATTTAATTTGCTCTCTAATTCTTATCGTTTGTCAGTACACTATACTTCACACTGCGATCTTTACTTTATTATTCGAACTCATTGATATAACAACTCGATTTTAAGTTACCTGGGTTACAGTTTTGCATATAACACGTTGTAATTTTTATTATCGATGTTCTAATGTTTTTCGTTGTTTAAAATACTCAAGTTTGATTGCTGTCTTAGTAAAATTCAGTGACTACTGGAGTATGCATAACTTTGTGTAATTGTGGCCAGTGACATTCTAATTTATTTTTAAGTCACAGTTGTGTCAATCGTATTACATTTGCATTTAAATTCGTTTATTTTGTTCGCAAAACGTGAAAAATTACCAAGTAAAATTTAATGCTTGGGGGTCTTCATTAGCAACAATAATTCTGAATATTTTGACTACTATGTTGCAACGACTGTTCTTCTTAGATAATATTAGCTTGCGATAAACTCCCATGACATTTGAACCGTTTTCGATGCAAAATGTGGAGAAGGTCTGTGGTTGTATCTTCTTTACTTGGGTTATGAGCTCATAAAATATGAGTTTATATAATTGACAAATTCATTTAAGTTTAGGCTTTTACAAATTGTCTAAAACATTCTTTGAAAATTGTTAATAATGTTGACGAATCTTTAATTGATATTGCGTCTATCAGTAAATAGTCATTTTTCTACTTGGCTGGTGTTCCCATTGGTTAAGCTTTGCTTTTTTTATCGTAGGAAAGAAATATCAGTTCCGTTAAGCAAGCAAAGGATGAGCGTGTTCGGGAAATTCGAAACGCTGTCGAATTAATTGTTGTACGCTTGGAATCAAATCTTAACGGAAAATTGACTACTTTGACAGCACAGCGCAATCACCTTAATCAGGTAATTTATTTTTGTCAATAAATCCTTATATTCATAGTTTAGTCGTGCTAGTTTAATTTAGTTTAGTTTATCATGCTACCTAGACCATGCTTTCTCCTAGGCAAAATCTGGGCTTTTAAACTAAACGCCTTTTATCCCCTGCAAGCAACGATTTGCTTTGGTTGATACAATCGACTTTTTGCGCTGTTTCAGGAGACAGAATTATTGGATTCACTTTTGCAAGAAGTTCAGACTCAGTTGAATTCAGCAACAGCTGCCAATATTATATTCAGATATCCAGCTCTTTCGGCAATGTTCGCTGAAGTTCACAAGACTCCTATGGCATCTTTCGTCAGTACTCCTGTTCCTGCAGAATTTCAAAGGTAATCTCTGTTTAGTCGATTTATTGTGCCACCCATAAAAATTTACTAAAACACCATGTGGGTTTAAAAGTCGGCAGTTTACTTTATTATTGTTACATTCGATTTATTTTTACAGCCATTATGGCTACCACCGTCCGTCCATTTCCTCGTGCCACTTGTTTTGAATGAGACCTTTTCGTCGTTCTTTTATTATTTCTCAGTTCATAGAATTAATTAAATGTATGCTTTACGCCTGCCCCCTCCGTACGCAGGGGCAAATTTTAGGATTTGTGTTTTTTTCAGACTGAGTTTGTTGATTTTTTTCACAAGGAACTTGTAATGACGAAAATAACAATTCTGTGGGGTTGCTAGTGTTTGACCTTTGCATGCCCCTATCACACTTTCTGAAATCTTTTCTGCCCAAGGAATTTTAAGCCACAAAATAGAAATTCAAGGACATTTTACCTCTTTAAAACTTGACGTTTTTAGTATTAAATTACGGGAAGCTTTTTCATGTATTCTCCTAATCACTCGTAGTGGACACAGACATTGTTATAATCGAATCTTGCGGATTATTTGATGTCAGTGATTTCTTTACATTCCAGTGAAATCGTTCCACCCTATGATTCAAGTACCTTTGTAATCCAGAACTTCAGTCTGCTGAGGCAAAGAGTTGACCCTGTCTATAGTCCTCCACTGCATGTTGGCGGTCTCAGCTGGCGACTCAAGGTGTACCCAGATGGTAATGGCGTTGTCCGTGGACACTACTTGTCGGTTTTTCTCGAACTGTCTGTCGGTATAATGGAACCTGCGAAGTAAGTCATGCTTGAGGTGTACCTATGACTTTTGTTTTGCGTTATAAATGCTTCAAACCCTGTGCTGTGTTTAAATTTTAGTTGAACTTATAATTATATTTCTTATCCCGTTTTGGCTTAGATCAGTCTCACTCAGTTCCCTCTTGACATGTTTTCAATCATCTGTATTGATTGTATTGTTATTAGCATTGATTATGTTGTCACTTCTTCCAAATTGAGCTGCTTGTGGCCTTTCTTCCCACAATTTTACCCTTAAATCGACTTTTCGAGACGTTTGTTTTTATTTGAGTTCGTGCCTTAAAGTTCCTTTCTATTAACACTACTACTGATTAGCCACAAAGCCATAGTAATCTGACGCCTAAACATTGCCATCATTCACACTCTCCTTGCTTCCTATTATTGCATTTTTTGCTTCATTTAACCTATGGGTATGAGTATCGCGTGGAGTTGGTTCACCAAGGGACGCCGCCAGACCCCACGAAGAACATTTTACGTGAATTTGCCTCAGAATTTGAGGTTGGTGAATGCTGGGGCTACAACCGTTTCTTCCGGTTGGATCTTCTTGCTAGCGAAGGCTACCTCTCCGCAGTGAATGATACCTTATTCCTCAAATTTCATGTACGCATGGTTTGTTCCACTCCAATTTTGTACTTGGCCCTATTGATTGGTTTGCTTATGGATTCGCACCCTAGTCTAATGCACTTTTGAAATGCATATATTATGTTTTGTTTAGCGCAGTTATGTTCCTTGAAATGTTGTTTTGTTATCAATAGGCCTGGTGATGGACGTATCTGTTCTTTAATCTCAGGTGTTTTGTTGAGATACTGTGTCCATTATCCTTAGTTGTATTCCTGTATACTTTACAAATTTCACCTGTGTCACCTCACAAGTCGTCAGTTATCAGCTCTGGAAAGAATTGCAGTTGAAACAAACTGCGAGGTGCATTCGAATGCAACTAAGTCATTTTTCTGGTTGGATTTAATTTTGATATTCTTTCTTATAGGTTCGCGCGCCGACTTACTACCAAAAGTGCCGTGACCAGCAGTGGTACATTTCACAGCTTGAAGCTCACGAGGGCCACTTCTTGGCACAAATGGCGGATTACAAGGATCGCCTGAACACCGAAATCATTCGCCCATCGGCAACAACAACGACAAATCCCTCAGGAGAGAGACCTGGGCCTTCAGCCGTCTTGCTCACCGGTTCTTCTTTGCAGGACTCTTCCAGTGACCACAAACGCTGCAATTGTGTTGGAGAAGGCGATTGTGGAGAATGTCTGCGCCCTCCCACGAGTTCGGAACGTTGTCCTGCTCCGACTCCGTCCACCGCTGCTGCTGCTGCCACTGCCGTCACTGTAGGTTCCTTTGCAGTTAAGCAAACTAGATTTTTTACCTCCCTTCTGTACCCCGTTATTCTAATTTTTTGCTAGGACTAGCAAAATGTTTGGTGTCTATCTTTTAATACCCCCACGCTTGCTACTTGTGGGGGCTTAATGCAATGAATCAAGTAGTGTATATTAATCAACATTGCATTCTAAATGAAAAATTCGCTGTGACGAGTAAATTAGAATTTATTGTATTTTAATATCTCTTTTAACAGACTGCGACCAAATTTACTCCAAGGATCTTGCGATCTTTTAACCAAAATGTTTACTTACGAGATTCTTCAGTCGTTAAAATTAATAGGTCGCCGGTGTAAGAATTCATGTGTGTATGAGTCGGCAGGTAATCTATACAGTATTATATGTGTACAAAATTTTTGTTTTTGTTTTCTTTGCAGAAATAATAAATCATAAGTGTCAATTTGCTTTACTTCAGAAACCATGTAAACCGAAAGGTCGATATCGCTTTTTAATTCATTTGTTTACTTTATTCTACCAGCTTGCCTATTTAATTCGGTCTTTTCTAGCCTCTTAATTTCAGTGAAGAAGAGCGCAATCCAGCTCCTGTGTTTCCATCTGTGGTTGTGCGTTCGAACCTTGCTCATGATGGAGGTGACCAAGCGGGACGCGAAGACCGCAATGACTTTGATGGTGAAGATGAAGATGATGAAGACAATGGTAGTGACACTGAGGGCATTGTAGGGAACTTTGAGCTTGAAGAAGCATGCTCTCCAGCTGGTGAAGACGATATGGTATCGGCCGACGAGGATAGGAATGTTTCGCCATCAATTATTGATTTTGAACAGCAACGACGAAATCCAGGAGACTCAAGCGAGGACGATGTCGGTAGGACACATTCCTTTCTCGTCCCTATGTCCACAGATGTGACCGACTTCGCGGCCTCACAGAGCAACTGTAGTAACAGTGCTGTCGCCGCTATCTTCAGTCAGTAAGTCATCAGTGAACTGAGTATATCTCTAGCCCTCAAATCTCAGTCGATTTGATATAATTTCGATGTACTTAACACCGGAACCCAAACAATGCATTGATTTTATCAAATGGTTCGAAGTACTACAGTCACGAGATGTTTAAGTGCTTTAAATAGCATTTTATGTAGCCAATAGATATGGGTAGTCATGAGTCCCGTTTTTGCTACCTTAGTCAGCTGAAACCCAAAGTACCGATCATCTGTGACATTAAGTATGTTGAATAATTTTATGATAATGCCACTATCTTTTTGATTTCCTATGTAGGTTTACCCAAACATGCAGAGAGGCTGTTCCAACTAAGTCTACGCACTTTTAGACACAAAACTAACCTTTAATTCCACTAGATTCCTACTTATGTTGTCCTTTTAATGTTTCTTTCCGTGTGTTTATTTTCGCGCTGGACGTAAACTCAACTAAATTTGATTACTCGCGAGAGTTTAGTAAAGAATTAGACCAATTTATGGTTATAGTAATTTGGATCACATGAATAGTATATTTTCGTGCCAAATTACACGACGTGCGTTTGCAGGAATAGCTGTGGTATATGTTAATCTAAACTCGATATTTTTTGTCCATGACTACAGGGATAGTACGAGTTAGGCTGAAAACCAGGACTTGGCATCATCCAGGGACTTTGTACAGGCCGCCTGAAATAGGCAGTCCACAATTCAAAATACACTGTATATGAAGTGAGCTTAGATAAATCAATTATCATTGTTGAAAATTACCAGCAATTTAGTTCACAACACTGCCATTAGTTTTAAATTGCACAATAGTCCGAAGCCCGTAAATAAAATCGAAAATCCATAAATCTAGATATTAAATCTTAATGGTCCCACAAGTGCAGGTAAAATTGCAAAAAAATAACGAAGAATTTGCCAGTGTGCTTACGAAAAAACGAGAATCCTCGAGATCGGTTCCAGGGGATGTTTGCAACATTGTTGCAATAGTTTTCTTAGCTATTTCGCACGAAATCGCTGGAGAGGTGAATTAATAAATATACAGAAGATTAGTAATGAGATGTTACCATTCCTATACATTAAAGTTGTTGTGGTTTTGTGGTAGAGGGCGTAAAGTGTTCAATGACTTGGGGAACCATGACGATTTGGGTTCTTTTCGCATGTATGCAGCGATTAGTAATGTGCTTTACCCTCAAAATACAATGATTCGGCTTGGAAATTCCCAAAACACTGTAAATCAAATCACAATTTGGGATATTACAGGGATTGTCTCAATTTTGACTTGTTGAACAGAAATGTTGTTTATTTGCATTATTCCACTGACAAATGTCAGTTTAATCAACTCAGCTAGTAGATTGCGTTAAGACCATTTTCCTGAGTCTAAAAGCAAATGCCTCGTGCGTTTCTGTATAGCCAACACA